CGTGGAAGTGACTTTTCAAATGTTTCAAATCATTCGTGGTGGTGGAGACACGTTCTGCAAAGAGAGAGGTAAAAATAAATCAATTAGTTTCGGAAGTTAGACTTGGAGATTTTTTGTTTGGACTCACCATAACATTCAATGTTATCGACTATGGCTGACATTATATCACATATACGATCCCAAATGATTTCCGGTAATTCCGATTTATATTTTGTTATAACAATGTGTATGCCCAAGATGACCTCATAGGTGACACAGACATGACGGCTATCCAGAGCCTGAAAGAAAAAAGGAAACATACAAAAATATATGATTTTTTTTAAGGTTTCTTAAAGTTGCCAGGCGGAACTTTGTGTACCGAAAATAGATGAGGATTGGCATATAAGGGATATTACATAAAAGTCGATCCCTATACCGACAATATTTTCAAGGAGATATTGTAAAACAAAAAAATCCCTTAAAATCCAAAAAGTGCCAAATTCCTCAAAATTCAGAAATTTGGAGGTTAGGGTTATATGGGAGCTATATTTAAAAGTGGGGCGATATTAATCATTTTTGGTAGGAAGATTATATACCTAATGGGAATTCAAAATTTGAAATTGTAAAATATACAAAAATTCCTCAAAATTCGGAAAATTTGAGGTTAGGGTTATATGGAAGCTATACTTAAAAGTAAGCCGATATTGCTAATTTTTAGTAGGGAGATTTTCTACACAATGAGAATCCAAAATATCAAATTGCAGCCAATTTGGTTGTAAAATGTGCCAAATATCTCAAACTATGGAAAATTTGAGGTTAGGGCTATATGGGAGCTCTACTTAAAAGTGAACGGATATGTATAATTTCTGGTAGAAATATTTTCTATACAATAAGAACTCAAAATATCAAATTACAGCCAATTTGCTTGTAAAATGTACAAAATTCCTCAAAATTCGGAAATTTGGGAGGTTAGGGTTATGTGGGAGCTATACTTGAAAGTGGTGCGATATTGATAATTTTTGGTATTGAGATTATCTACGAAATGAGAACCCAAAATATGAAATTGCAGCTAATTTCATTGTAAAATGTGCCAAATACCTCAAAAAACTGAAAATTTTAGGTTAGGGTTATTTTTGATAATTTTTAGTAGAGAGATTATATGCCTAGTGTGAACTTAAAATGTCGAATTTCTGATAATTTGGTCGGAAAACTTGTCCAAAATCCCTAAAATACCGAATATCAGATCTTACTGTTATATGCGATCTATACCTAAAAGTGCATCGAAATTGATCATTTTTGGTATGGAACTTGTCTACACAATGAGAACTAAAAATATCAAATTACAGTCATAAAAGGAGTCTTTATAGACCCCTATAAAGAAGTCCTTATAGACTCCTATAAAGGAGTCTTTATAGACTCCTATAAAGGAGTCTTTATAGACCCCGATAAAGAAGTCATGATAAATTCCTATAGAGTCTTTATTGATTCCTATAAAAGAGTCTTTATAGACTCCTGTAAAGGAGTCTCTATAGACTCCTGTAAAGGAGTCTCTATAGACTCCTGTAAAGGAGTCTCTACAGACTTCTATAAAGGGGTCTATATAGACTCCAATAAAGTCTTTATAGAATCCTATAAAGCAGTCTTTATAAAATCCTATAAAGAAGTCTTTATAGACGCCTATAAAGGAGTCTTTATAGACTCCTATAAAAGAGGTCTTTATAGACTCCTATGAAGGAGTCTTTATAGACTCCTATAAAGGAATCTATATAGAGTCCTCTAAATAAGTCTTTTGAAGACTTCCGTGAGGATGTCTTTATAGAATTAATAGTTCCTCCTCGTTGCCCTTGTACTCCATATTGTAGAGTTCTGGTAATTCCGAATTCTGTTAGTCTAACTAAACACACAAATAAAATAAATTAATAACTTTTTGGAGTCAAATTTTTAATCCTATTTTCTACTTACCCTCAAAAAACTATTCAACACCATTGAGGCATAAAATAGCGGTGATACTTGAAATACCAGCGGTGCACCAAATATATTCATATTCAAATGAAATACAGCACCCCTCAGCAAATATTCATCTTCGTATAGAGAACGATCATTTAGGATGTTACACATCATTTTCATGGAATGATAACCCAGTTCGGTGCCCAGCAGATTTTTCATGATCTGGAAAAAAAGAGAGGGAAAATATTAAATAAACTAAGTTTTTAAATTTTTATTTGTAAAGAAATATATATGTGCGATAAAATAAACACCCAGAGAATTTAATTCAGGAGTTCTCATGTGATTCTAGACTGATGATGTTTATATTGTCTTATTTACAGAGGGGTCTATAAATACAATTTGGTATTTTTGTGTTCTAAAACCATACTATAAGACAGTTTCACCAGCATTCCTAAAGTAATTCTTAGCATGTTCAGTTTTTTTTTAGATTCACATTTTACATAAATAAAAAATCAAAGTTTGTTCTGAATAAAATAAAATAAATAATAAAGGCGTTAAATATATTGTAATTATTTCTATTAAAATGTTGATTTAAATTATAAATTTTAACGATTTTTTCTTATGAAAAAGAATTTCCTTTTGATTTCATCAACAGACTGTTTAATAACAGCTGTTTGTTTCACTTATTATTAAGAGCTTAGTTCTCTTGTTTCTCTTTGTGGTAACAGTAACTGTTGTGCTCTCTTCATTGAATAAAGAACTCTTTTCTCTTTGTTTACATTAATTTAACCGTTGAATAAATAAAGTGTTAACTGTTTACTTCTACTTGTTTGAGGGGGGAGAACAGATAGTATAACAGTAGTAACACCCACTAACCCACTAACCCCCTCCCCACCTCCTCCTTTCAGTTTATTTAATAAACAAAAACAAAATGTTCCCCCAACAAGCAGTTGTTTGCTTCTTATTGCCCCCACTCAAAGTAACTTTTTTGCTCTTTGGATCGTGGATCTCTTTGCCTTCATTCTCTCGCTCTTGGCTTTGCTTTGTTTTGTTTGTTTTTGCTTTCACATATCAACAATCAAGCCATATCTCCTTCTCTGCTCTGTTCTGTTGAGTAGATTAATGTCAAAAACATATGTGAACGAGCCACACACTTAAAAAGGCAAGAACGAACATTTTAGTTTGACAGACAGCTTAAGATTAAAAAAATAACATACGGCGATTTTAATAAAAATAATAATAGAAAAAATTGTATGTTGTAATATTTAATCGATCACCTTGAAAAGATAAATAAAAAAGTCAAAAAAATATTAAATTCTCTGCTTCGTGTTCCAGAAAGTGTGGGGAAAAGTCAGCTGTCAAAGCAGAGGGCGTTGTTTACAAGTAAAGGGTTGTTGTTGATAAGAAATTGAAACGTATTATTAAGGTCAAACAAAATATTGCCGAGCAAGGTGAATGCAAGTTCAGGTAAATTTGGTAACAATTAATTTGTTCATATTTCTATAAATCTATTCTTTCGCGGTATGGGCCAGGTGTGGCAATGCTTTATCAATCAAAATAATATATAAATAAACTTTGCTGAGCTCATAGGTATATCGTAAAATCAACCCGTTTTGATATGAGGATCAGTATAATCACAAGTGGGCCGATAAGTTCCGGTGGTCGTCTCAACAATGAAAACTGTTCTTTAGAAAGAAAGTACAAATTTGGGGCCAGGTCGCAGATTGTTATGAAATGTATACTACATATTGTTCTAAGGATCCCGATTACAATGGTACATTTTTTTCTTACGAAAATCTATACGGACCTCCATAGTTCCACTGAGGCCCTTGTCACCCTATATTATAAAATTTACACAGGCAGTATGGGTATCAATTTGAAGCGGTTGAAGTCCTAATTAGAAAAATTTAACTATTATTGAATAGAGAACCTCCCTACCTAAAATTATCTATATGGATCCACGTTTAAGTATAGCTCCCATATAAAAGTACGCCCAGATTTACGATATTTTAAGGAGTTTGTACACATTTGCCAACCAAATTGGCTGTAATTTTATATTTTGGGTTCTCATTGGGTAGAGAACCTCCATACCAAAAACTATCTATATTGGCCCACGTTTAGGTATAGCTCTCATATAAAAGTACCCTTAGATTTTCGATATTTTAAGGAGTTTTGACTTATTTTTCAGGCAAATTGGCTGTAATTCGATCAGTTGGCTTCTCATCTGATATAAAATGTCCCTACTAAAAATTATTAGGATTGGTACATTTTTAGGTGTAGCCTCCATACAACGTTGCCTTCTGATTTTCGATATTTTAAGGTTTTTGAAAATATTTTCAAATCGAATTGTTTGTAATTTGATATTTTGGGATTTCATTGGCTACAGAACCTCCCTACCAAAAAATATCTATATGAACCCACGTTTAGGTATAGCTCTCATATAAAAGTACCATCCTATTTTCGATATTTTAAAGATTTTAGACACATTTGGCAACCAAATTGATTGTAATTTGATATACAGGACTTTTATTGGGTAGAGAACCTCCCTACCAATAATTATTTATATCGGCCCTCGTTTAGTATAGCCCCATACAACGGAACATTCCGATTTTCGAAATTCTTACGATTTTCCGACAAATTTCGTTGAAATTTCATATTTTGGCTTCTCAATAGTAAAAATCGGTCAATTTCTAAAAAAATCGAAAAAAATCAAATTTTTTCTAAACGAAAAATTTTCCAATTGTTTTTCTTTTGACGAAAAAAAAATCCGAATTTTTTTCTATGCGAAAAAATTTTTTCAGAATTTTTTTCTATGCGAAAAAAATTTTTTCCGAATTTTTTTCTATGCGAATAAAATTTCCGAATTTTTTTCTATGCGAAAAAAAATCCAAATTTTTTTCTATGCGAAAAAAAATCCAAATTTTTTTCTATGCGAAAAAAAATTTCCGAATTTTTTTCTATTGGCGAAAAATATTGTTTCCGATTTTTTTCTGTAGACGATCTTTTACCAAATTTTTTCTATGCAAAAAAAATATTTCCTTTTTTATCCCTTTTCCATATTGTTTATTTTCAGAATGTCCGAAGAGAAGCGCATCTTGTGCGTGGGTATGTGTGTCTTGGACATAATTCATGTATGTGCAGAATATCCGAAGGAGGACACAGATAGACGTTGCCAAAGCGGTTATTGGCAGAGGGGTGGTAATGCCTCCAATAATTCCACGGTGCTACGTAAATTAGGGGCACCCTGCGAATTTCTGGGAATGATAAGTACTTCGCCAGCATTTGCCTTCCTCTATGAAGATTGCCGTCGCCGGAATATCAGCATAGAAAACTGTCCAACCACAGATATGGATCCACCATTTTCAAGTATAATATTGGTCAAGAGTAAAGGTACCCGAACCATAGTACATTCAAATCCCGGCTTTCCGATTTTAACCTTTGATGATTTTAAGAAAATCAATTTGTCCAACTACACCTGGATACATTTTGAGGGTCGTAATGTTGTGGAGACACGACAAATGACCGTGAGGATTCAGGAGTATAATCAGGGGGTAGAGGAGACTGGTGACCGGATACAAATTTCCGTAGAGTTGGAAAAATTAAATCGTGATCTTTTTGAATTAACCTGCGGAGTTGATGTGGTATTCGTATCCAAAGATATTGCGGAGCATATGGGTTGGCATACGGCCAAGGAGGCGGTGTGGGGTGCCATGGAGATTATTCGTGATATGCAGGAAAAATTGGAAGGAGGTTCGAACGTCCCTTTGCCCAATATCATCTGCCCTTGGGGTTCGGTGTCTACTGATTGTTTAAGTTCCGCGGGAGAATATGCGTCTGTGCCGGCTTGCCATGTAAATGAAGTAATCGATTCGTTGGGTGCTGGTGACACCTTTTTGGCTGCCTGCATTTATGCCCTACAGTATCTGAAGCGATCGCTAAGGCAAGCTGTTGAATATGCCAATCAAGCGGCAGCATTTAAAATTCAGCATCGAGGCTATGATGACCTCGAAACGTTTGAGTATCAAGAATGAGCATGATTTTGAAGTTTGATAAAATTTTTAGAACCTAGTCCTGACATTCCGAAATAATTACAATAAATGTGATATAAACGAAACAAAAATTTTTAATTTTTCGAAAAAATTCGGAAAAAAATTTTTTTTCTTCAATAGAAAAAATTCGGAAAAAAATGTTTTCGAAAAAAAATTTAACATCGAAAAAAATTCTGAAAACATTTTTGACATCGAAAAATCCCGAAAACATTTTTTTCGACATCGAAAAAAAATTTGGAAAAGATTTTTTTCGACATCGAAAAAATTCGGAAAACATTTTTTTTTGACATCGAAAAAAATTTTTTTTTGACATCGAAAAAAATTCGGAATAAAATTTTAGTCAATAGAAAAAGTAGGTGAATTTTTTTCACATAGAAAAAAATCGAAGAATAAAATTCGAAAAAAAAGATTTTTTTTCGGCACAGAAAAAAATCGGTAATTTTTCCTTTTTTTAAATTGAAAGGAGATTTTAACTGATGAGAACCCAAAGTATAAAATTTCAATTTCGGTCGGAAAATATGTCTAAGAACGGTAAGAATTTCAAGGGCCGATATAAATAATTTTTGGTAGGAAGTTAATTTGCCCAATGAAACCCAAAAATATAAAATTACAACCAATTTGGTTTGAAAATGTGTTCAAAATCCTTACAACATCGAAAATCGGAAGGTATCGTTATATGGGGACAATACCTCAAAGTGGACCCATATTGACAATTTTTGGTAGGAAGATTTTCAACCTGATGAGAACCCAAATGATCGAAATATAAAGTCAATTCGATTTTGAAAATTTGTACAAAATCATTAAAATATCGAAAATCGGAAGGTAACGTTGTATGGCTACACCTAATAATGGACCAATGCTGATAATTTTTAGTACGAACATTTTCTATCAGATGAGAAGACAATTAATCGAATTACAACCAATTTGCCTCGAAATTCGTCCAAAATCCTCAAAACTGCGAAAATCGGAAAATACTTTCATATGGGACCTATACCTAAACACGGGCCGATATTGATAATTTTTAGTAGAGACAGTCTCTATCAGATGAGAAGACAAAATATCAAATTACAGCCAAATCGATTTGAAAATGTGTCCAAAATCCACAAAATACCGAAAATCGGAAGGTACAGTTGCATGGGAGCTATACCTAAAATTGGAGCAATAATCATTATTTTTAATAGAAAGATTTTCCACCTGATGAGAACTCTAAATATCAAGTTACAACAAATACGGTTGAAAAATGTGTCCACAATAGTCAAAATATCGAAAAAAGGAAGGTAGCGTTGCATGGGGGCTATACCTAAAATTGGAGCAATAATCATTATTTTTAATAGGAAGATTTTCCACCTGATGAGAACTCTAAATATCAAGTTACAGCCAATACGGTTGAAAATGTGTCTACAATACTCAAAATATCGAAAATCGGAAGGTATCGTTGTATGGGGGCTATATCTAAAAATGGACCAATGATGATATTTTTTAATAGGAACATTTTATATCAGATGAGAAGTCAAATGATCGAAATACAACCAATTTGCTTGGAAACTAAGTCCAATCTCCTTAAAATATCGAAAATCTGAGGGTATTTTTAGATGAGAGCTATACTTAAACGTGGGCCGTTATAGCTATTTTTTGATATGGAGGTTCTCTGCCCAATGAGAACACAAAATATAAAATTACAACCAATTTGGTTGGTAAATGTGTCGAAAATCTTTAAAATATCGAAAATCGGAAGGTACTTTTATATTAGAGCTATACCTCAACATAAGCCGATAAAGATAGTTTTTGGTAAGGAGGTTCTCTATCCAATGAGAACCTAATAAATGAAAAATTTTTTCGTCTATAGAAAAAATTCGGAAAAATTTTTTTTTCGTCTATAGAAAAAAATTCGGAAATAATTTTTTCGTCAATAGAAAAATATTCGGAACAAATTTTTTCGTCTATAGAAAAAATTCGGAAAAAAATTTTTTCTTCAATAGAGAAAAAAATTCGGAAATTTTTTTTCCGAATTCGGAAAAAAATATTTTTCGTATAGAAAAAAATTGGAAACATTTTTTTTTCGAAAAAAAATTTGAGAAAATGTTGTTCGAAAAAAATCAGAAAAAAAACAATTTCGAAAAAAATCGGAAAAAAAAAATTTTCGTATATTCGAAAATGTCCCAATCTTTATTATGCCTTACGAAATTTTCTATAACTATTTCCAGTGACTTCTTTAAAGCCGTAAAAAAATGAAGAAATCAGATTTTCGATAAAAACAAATTGTGAATCATAATTACTTTATTTTTTTTCTAATACGCATATAACTGTCTGAATATCTTTTATCTAAAAAATAAAATCTTTATTGCGGAAAAATTTGTTGTTATTTTTTTTTTTTTTTTTTTTTTTTTGTTGGTATCGTGTTCTGTACTCAGACGATCGATCAGTCAGTAATTGGCCGGCAATTGGCCCATAACATTTTTCTCAACCCAAAAAAAAAAATAACAACAAGAAAAAACATGTTCGGCGATTAATAAAATTAAACGATAAGAATATTAAATTTGTTTTTTTTATTTTTTGATAATTTTTTTTCAAAATACCGTGTTGTGTTGGTTATATATAACAATGCGTATCTTTGACAAGACGAAGAATTAACCACCCTCTGTTTTAAACAAAAACGAAAAAATTGAATGAATTTCTTGGAAGAATGGATTTTGTGATAGGAAGTTATCACGATTAAATTCTTGTTTTCGCTGGGAAAAAATAAAATTTGAATATTTCGATCATAAAAATATTTTGTTTGATTAATGGAGTCAATACCAAAAATGGGTATTTTTGAGAATGACTCAATTTTTGGCGGGACAGATAAAATTTTACAAAAAAGTCTCCAAAAGGGGAAAATGGATTTTAAAATTAATTTTAGGATTGCAAATAAGCATTTTGGCGAAATTTTGAAGTGCCTGGAGAGTTTGAAAAAATAATTACAAAAATTGATTTTTAAATATTTTTATTGTTTTTATTCTTAAATTTATGAAAATCAGCTCAAAAATAATATTTTAGAATGAAAATTAAATTGAAAATAAAATAATTTTGAAAGTCTCCATTACTTTGTACACATAAAAATGCCCAAATATTTAAAATTTTTAAATTTTTTTTGCAACATTTTAATTAAAAATCACTAAAAAATATTCAAATGAAGTTTAAAAATATTTTGAAAAAAAGTAAACGATTTTTTTGAAAGTTTCCAATTTTTTGTAGAGTTAGAAATGTTTAGAAACTTAATTTGTTGGACCTTGAAAATGTTATAATCAATTTTTTTATTAAAAACATATAAAAAAATCAAAGGAATTAAACAAAATTTTGAAAAAAATCAATTCTCCAATTTTTGTAGAGTTAGAACTGTCCTGAATTTGATACTTTTGTGCATTGAAAATGTTCTAAACAAATTTTTAATCAAAGATCACTACCAAAAAATTCAAACGAATTAAAAAAAATATTTTGAAAAAAATTAAACGATTTTTTTGAAAGTCTCCAATGTGTATTTATTGACAAAAAATGATAAATATTGATCTTTAAAATATAAATAAATCATATTCGCAAAAATTTGAAATCTCTCCACAACCTTTAAAAAGTCTCCACTGTCAAAAAAATCATAAGGTTGTGCATTGTTAATTTTTTTTAAAAAATTATAAATTGTTATACAATATTTGAAGGCATTACAATACATTTTACAGTTCTTAAAAAAAATTAAATTAATTTTGAATTTTTTTATATTTTTTCCATTTTTTTTTTAAATTTAATAATGCCTTGATATGTCTTTATTTTGGTTTAATTTCATAAATTTTAATACCTAGGAACTGAAATTTGAGGTAATTTTCCAAGTCTCCACTTTTTGGATACTTTAAAAAAATGGGTGCAAATAACTGAAATTTGGTGCAATTTTCAAAGTCTACAAAATTTTCAAAAAGTCTCCACTTTTTGGAGAGTTTAAAAAATGTAAGAAATCTCGATTTAGTATATCACGAATTCCACAAAAAGGTCAACCACTCAGGTGAAAAATCAATTCGTTAAGAGAGATATGAAATTATATAGGAAATATTCTTTGCAATCCGGACAATATATTTTTAGTTGAATTTTGAAAAATAACGGTAGTTTTTCTTTTCGTTGTACCATTTTCGCGTGGAGAGTAACTTGGGCATATTTTTATTAGTTTTAGAGTGTCATTTGTCGTAAGTGTGAACGCTGTTAGCTAAAACAATATCAATAATAAATATTAAATTCAAATAAAGTAATATCTTACTAAGAATTACATATATATAAACCTATACATATACCAAGAGAATCCCGTGGTAAGTGCAGTTAAATAGTGTAAGAAAATATGTAACGCGTGCGTGACAAAATTAGCATATGTTTCTATACAGACTCTAATATGAGAATTTTTTTTTTTGATAATACTGTTATGTGTGGATCTTGAGATGACAAATTCAAATAAAACAAAGTTTGTCTTCTATCTCCATCGAACAAATTTATATCCGTCACGCACATGTTACATTCTTCCTCAATAAGTTGCTTTAGAACCGAATTTACAGACAAAAATGTCGTCCATAACTGCATAATGATTTACCAAAGTTCTTGGGGCCACACAAAGCTATAATATCCTGACAACATAGTTGTGTGGGGTATAAGAACTAGCATTTTTAAAACATTCTGTTTTGAATTTAATTTTTTTAGTACATGTGTGTGTAACAGTGCGTTACGAGTGTAACATGTGCGTGACGGTGTTCAAAGTTAAAAAAGTATATCTTAGAAATTTTTTTCTCAAAAAAATTGAATGTCAATATAATCTTGAATAACCCATTATAGCTGTAAAAAAAATCCGCAATTTTATCTCCAGCCAATTCGCAGAAATTTCATATCGAAACTGATATCCAATTTTTAAAGGGAAAATTTTGTAGCGCGTGCGTACGCTAATTTTTTCTTAATATCTCCGACATTTACAAACATATTTATAAAAAAATTAGCAGGTATTGTAAAAGGCGTAAAACTATTTAATAAAAATTGCGAAACAAATTTCGGAAACAAATTTTTCTTAACTAAACAAACGATTATATTTCACACGCTGTAACAGTGCGTGACATGGAATTCGTGATATTTGAAATCAATTTTTACGAAAATAAAACCATAATTCATAATTTTTTTTTTAATCTCCACAAATTTTGAATTTTTACAACAAATTTTGAAAGTTTTTTTGGTTATGGAGACTTAAAAATTCATTGGAAAAAATTTAAATTTTACACCAAAATGCTATAAAATGATTTTTGGGGTGACTTAATAAATTAAATTTTGCAACATTTTCAAATCTCCACAAATTTTGAAAAAGTCTCCACTTTTTGGAGACTTTTAAAAATTGTCCAAAATTAATCAAATAATCGTATTTATGATGTTTTCTACAAAAATATAATAAATATAATAATAAGTCTCCACTTAAGAAAAAATAAAAAAAATTAAATTCTCAAAAAAAAAATATTTTTAATAAAAAATAAATAAATACAAAATATTTTTCAAAAAATATTATTTATTTAGGGATTACCCATGATTTTTATTATTTATGGTATTCAAACAAAATCACCTGCACGTTTTCTTTGCGATAATTTTCTTTTTTTCAAATAGCTACCCACCCATAAAAATAAATTAACTTGTGATTTATTTAGACACGATTCTATTTTCGATAGACTATCACTGGGTCAATCTAGACATGTATGGATAACATTATCGTAGGTCCAAATGAACTATGGACTCAAAATGTTTACAATATTAATTTAATTAAAAAAAAATTTTAAATATTTCCAAGTTCTTGGAACCCACATTTTCAATGTAAATATTGCCATGGAATTCCAAAAATGTTCGGAAGGCTTTGTTTCTTTAGAAAGGGAATTTCTTAAAATTTTGTTCTGATAACAAAGAAACAAAAAAAATCAATATTTCTTCGCATAACTTAGCCATGACTCAGTAACCTGAGAAAGACAGATTTTTTGACAGGTTCCAATAATTCGCCAGAATACCCTGTTATAAATTTTCGAAAACCTTTCAAATATCTCCCCCAGAATTTGTTTCCTACTAATTTGTCGAATTAATTAAATAAATCGAACAGAAAAACATGTTTGATAACAGCCATCTCTATTCTAGATAACAAGAATGAAAACATGGATACCTAGCATGTGTAACCCGCCAATAACCCGCCAACTTTTTTACCAATAATTCAATATTTCTTAGAAAGTATGAAAAAGAGCAGATAACGCTCATCTTTTGCGTTTTGGATTTTATTTCTTATTTTGGTTCGGCATAAACTATAAAATTTGGCAAACGGAAGTTATCAGCGGTCTGGTTCCTGTGAATATAAAAAACAAGAACAACACCATCTACAACAAAAAACTGATATTAAATACAATCAATAATTTGATTAGATTTGGAATGGAAAAATCATTTAAAAGAGTTTGAGGTCTGGCGATCGGGGCACAGTTCTAATCAAACAGTTAACAGAATAATAACAACCAACAGCGGGGCAAAATCGAGCAAAATACTAAATTTTCAGATATTTTGCTCTTTGCACCAAAAAGAAAAGTGAAAATTTTTTGAAAAAATTCGAAAAAAAAATTTTTTTTTTTTTTAAAAAAATTCAAATAAGATTTAAAAAAAAAATTAAAAAAATCCACAATTTTGAAAAAAAAAATTTGTTTTAACCAAATACCAAAAAAAGAAAGAAAAAACAATGCAATTTGCCAAGCACCTTCTAATTTTTGCCAGCCTATTGGCCATGGGCCATGGTTTGAGTCTTCCACAGCTACGTGAATCCATTACCGAAATTGTAAGTATTTGGAAAACAAAAAAACAACAACAACAAAGTGTGAATTTAGAAGATATAAAATAAAAAATTTTAATTAAAAAAAATTGAAAAAAAAATAAAATTTTGAACAATTTTAAAAAGTCTCCACTTATTGGAGATTTCAAAAAAACCGCCTAAAACGAGTGCTGCTATTGAAAAAAGTTATTTTCAATTAAAAAAAATGTTTTTATTTAAAAAATCTACAAAAATACATAAAAAAATATTTCTGACATTTTTATCGTGAAATTTAAAAGTCTCCACTACCTAAATATGAAAAATACAGAATTTTTTGAGATTATTTAATTTCAGATTTGTTCAGAAGAAGATTTAATGAATTTTAGCGATGAAAAAATACAATTTCCGTGGAGTTTTGAAAAGTCTCCACTTTTGGAGACTTTTTAAAAATTGCTGGAAATGCTTTGTAATTTAACTATGATTCATAAAAAATTATTCCTAAATTTTTTATCGCGAAATTTGAAAGTCTCCACTACCAAAATGCGGAAACTATAGAAGTTTTTAAGATTATTTCATTTCAAATTTGTTCAAAAGAATTTGTAATGAAATTTAGAGAGCAAAAAATTAATTTTCCGTGCAATTTGGAAAAGTCTCCACTTTTGGAGACTTCTTAAAAAACACGGTAAATGTTTTATAATTTAACTACGATTCATAAAAAATTATTTCTGAAATTTTTAGCATAAAATTTGAAAGTCTCCACTGAGAAAATTCGGAAATTACTGAATTTGTTGGGGCTATTTTAGTTTTAAATTTGTTGGAAGAATTTTTAATGATTTTTGGCGTTCAAAAAATAAATTTTCCGTGCAACTTTGAAAAGTCTCCAATTTTGGAGACTTTTTAAAAAAACACTGGAAATGCATTTTAACTTAATTATAGTTGATAAAAAAGGGTTTTGGAATTTTTTTGATGACATTTTGAAAGTCTACAATAACCTAAAACCGAAGTTAGGGCACATTTTGAAGTAATTTCAATTCAAAATTGTTGAATGGAATTTTTAATGATTTTTAGTGGTAGTAAAAATAAAATTTTTTAAATAAATGTATAATTTTAAATATATAATTTTAAAAGTATTAACTAAATTTGTTTTAATTTTTTTCTTCCAGGCCCAAAATGTCTTGACCTTGTGCAATGGCCGCCATAATGACACCCGTTTTGCCGACTACAATGACTGCCACAAATTCTATGTGTGCAGCAATGGCATTGCCCACGAATACAATTGTGATGAGGGTTATCATTTCGATAAGTACACCCTCTCCTGCATGGATGGCAGCGATTGCCAAAATAAAGAATTCCCCGATGAATGTGTCGATGGCAGGGTGCGGGCCGTTGAAGGTGATTGTTTCATTTACCAGTCATGTGTCAATGGCCAATATCAAAATATTAAATGTCGTACGGGTCATTACTTCGATGCCTCGAAGTTGTCATGCCGACCCATTACCTATAATGCCAATTATAAATGTAATTGTGTTGTGCCCGATCATACGGTTATGTCAAATTTCGAAAATTGTGAAACCTATTATGTGTGTGAAGATGGTGAAGCGGTGCTGAACAAATGTCCCTTGGGTGAATATTATAATGCCACCTATAATACATGTGTGGAGGATTTGGATGGTACATGTCTGATGGAGCCGACAAAAGCTCCTCTGCGCCAACAAATGGAAAAATTTGCCAAGACCGCCGTGGAGAATTTGTGTCAAAATGTAGCCGCAGATGAGGTGGCATTCTATGGTTCCGACAGTGATTGTAATCAATTTTTGGTTTGTTCCATTGGCCAGCTATTCGTAAAGAGGTGTCCTCAGAACTTCTATTTTGATGCCAATTTGAAATATTGCATATTCGATGGCGAGCATAAATGTCAGGAGAATGGTCAGTTGGTGGCGGCCGCTAGCAATGCTGAAGAGAGTCAAACGATTCCCGTGCCAAAAGTGCTTGTCTCACCCCGAGAAATTTTATCTGGTCTTGTAAAATATTGAAAACAATATATATTTGAAAATTAATTCATTTGAATAATATGATTCTCGTCTCCTCACTCTCTCTCGCTCTCAATGTACCTGGATTTTTTTTATTTTCTTGAAAAATTAGGCCTTGGTCATTGTCAAGTTTTAGATTTTAGTTTTAGTACTACACATAATCATTATATATAAACATAGTTTTAAGCCCCCCTATATAAAAAAGTAATTGTATAATTTAATCAACAAATAATAAAACAAAAAGAAAGTATTATTTATTTGCAAAATCGAATGGAATGTCTAATCTTATCGTAAAGGTTTTGTGTGTTCACACACCATGACAGACACAGGTGATTGTTACCAACCTCAACAAGAAGTTTTTTTTTTTGGTTTGTTTTCGAAAAGTTATATATTTCACTCTAAAAACCCAATTTTGATAAGCCATGATTGAACGACAGGTTGAAAGAATTTCCAATGACATATTGTTAAGATATAATTTAGTCAAGAGCAGGACATTAATCTGGTTTTTGACAGCTGCAAAAACAAAAAAACAAACTAACAAACAAGCAACACAAAGGGGCTATTGATTTATGTGGCCTTTTTATTGAGGGGTAATCTGAAAGATTAAATTTTTGGGGTAAAGTTCTTTTGTTCGGCTACTAGACATTGTGGCGGGACAGGTAGTATGCAGATTTTGTAAATTAATATAGGAAAAAAAAACTAAAAGTGAACTCGAAGTTCTATTTTTTATGATTTATTTGAATTATTTTTAAATGATGGTAAAAGACCCACAACCAAGGCCGCTAGAGGGTTAAATTATTCTACAAAATTAATCCTCATACGATACTGAATAATATTCCCATAGACTTTATAGACCCACAATATAAGGGTGGTTCGGAATAATAGGCATTTAAAAATCTCTATTACTAAATTAAAGATTTTTTTAAAGTAAATTTTAAATTAATGGAAAACTCATCGAACATCGAAGGGAAGCGGGTTGATATTTTCTACAAAAATGTTCCTCATGATGTTATAAACAATGTTTCAGAAGACATCCTCTAGATAAAATGAAAGATTACAAGGATTTTGTAGCTACTTTAATTGTTCAATGAATTATTTTAATTAATGTTTTTAATGTTCATAAAAGATCCGTACTTTTGGTTCCTAGAGGGTTAATATATTTTACAAAAATAATCCTGATACGATACTGGATAATATTCCTGAAGACATCAAATACCCATTATATACGGGTGGCCCGGAATCATATTACAAGGATTACAGCGGTTCAATGAATTATTTTAATTGAATTCATAAATGGCCATAAAAGTCCCATACCCACGGTCGCTAGAAGGTTTATATATTCTATAA